AAGTGATTTAACTTTTGCTGGTATAGGTGTTGTGCAGGTTTGGCCAGCCACTGGCATTTCGAAATGGGTTTAAGGAAGTGATTGGTGCATTTAGACTGAGGGAGGAAAAAAGGACCCCATTATACTGGTTAAGATGTGTGGTTAATAGATGTGATATGGGTGTGTTGATGGACCACTGAGCCTAATTTAAAAACACTGTACTGCTTTCTCTTTGACATCATCATTTTTGTTTCTCATTTTAGCAATGAGGTGCTGTTCCAACATGACAAGCGAAAAGCCAGATGGTCAGATTTCAGAACTTTAATGGAAAGGACACATGTGGCAAAGAATGTAGTTGATGCATGGTGTAGCGTTCTTAATTCTAGGGAAAAACACCGGAGGGACGGGCGACCTTCTCGAATCTATTTCTCAACCAGGGCCACGGTGAGTATCTAAAACCCAACTGCATGACCCCACCATAAACTCCCACTATTAAACAGAAGTGCGTGCAGATTGGAACCGTCGTGAGCATTTCCACCAGCCAGGATGAGAGGATAACGTGGTTCAACAAGCGGCTAGATGAGGAACTGAATACTACACACCATGAAGGGACTGCGACTATAGATATGGTAACCGTTTTTACACTTTGATATAATACTCCGCCACACTTTATACTACGGGATGGTACATAACTAATGCACACATATGTCTATGGTGCAGTTTATTTTCCCCATTTTGCACAAGGGCCGGTACTACATGATGAGCATAAGTTTTGAGCATTCTAGGTTTGATATTATTGACAGCTCATCTGCTAACAAAACGAACAAAGAAATGTATGGTAGTGCTCCGGCGGAGTTGGTATGTGTCTGTAGTACTAACATTTATTGGTGTTTACCCCAATGCCTTAGGATGGTCTCATGGGGTGTGGTAATTGATAAATAATATTCACTAACCAAATCCCTTTGTTGCAGATAGACTTACTAAGCGTATACTTGGATAGCAAATCTCAAACGCTCCGTGCATTTCGGCTAGCAAGCATGAAACCAAAGCGGATGCAGATGCCATGGAGATCCACCATGTTCACCCAAGACTCCGCGGTTTTTACGATGCGGCATATGGAGTCATACACCGGTCAGAGGTGCAGGAACTGGGACTGTGGGTTGCAGAAAGGGAACAGCCAACAGCTTCTCGATCTACGGAAACGCTACATGCACAACATCTTGTTGAGTGAGGAAAATGAGAACAAGGGGAATATTGCCACTCGCATCGGCCAATATGATGTCCAAAGGGCGGCTCAACTCCAACGTTGATCGCGGCTAGCAATTTAACCTTGGCAATAGTAATTTTAAAAGTTTTTAGTACAGAGCTAGTGCATTTAGATTTGGGAACCTGTTAGCTACTGCTTTGTGGATGGTATTTAGTTATGCCCATTTTAATTATTAAATAGATTGCTACTTATGAATTGCATGCACAGGTGCCAAACTTTGTTAATATTAACCAATCGTTATGATTTGCACATTTTCATTACAGTAGGTTCTTAGTGCACTGGAGTCAGGAAAAGCAATTAAATTAATTTATTGAACCAACATAGTTCTGCATATATACTAAACTAACCAGTGGTACATAGTTCTGCATGTCAAATTTCTGTCCATGACTATTTTATTTCCGTAGTGAATAATACATTGTGCATGTGTCAAAGAATTACCATGTGAATGGAAATAACATATCTGGGATAGACTCAATCCGTGTGCGCAATAGAGCATAATATCAGTATAGACAAACTATTGAAATCATTTACAGAGTGCAACAAAAGCAACATGGCAGTATTGCACATACTAAGAGTAAATTATCTTATGCTATGGAATACATCAAATTAAAATTCAACTAAACTACCCTTTGCTTGGAAGGACAACTACGAGCATTATGACGGGCGTATTCACTGCACACCCCACACTTTCGCCCGACTTTGACACTGTTCTCTATGGCTATCTCCCGGTTGCTCTTAATACGTTTTCCACTCCCTTTGTTTTTTGCCTGTGCCGGGGGTTTAATGGTTATACATGGTGGTGGCTGGACTCCACAGAATGCCTCGATCGTGGCCCTATTGCTCTTTGCTGCCCCGATGATCTCGCAGTCGCTCGCGAATTCATCTCTCAACTCTTTCAATACCTGCACCATCCGTGCTTGGCGCACCGTGCTCTCACCTACCATCCCGACACACGTGTTTATCTCAGACCACAGTTCTGTGGCACCTGATTTTGGAGGGACACCATCAACATGCTGCCCTCTGCAAGCATTGCATCCTAGGTGTTTGCGCCAACGATCCACAACATACTGGGATGGTAATTGCTGTAAATGTGAACCCTTGAACACCATGAACATATGTCTGCAAATTAGCCCCAAGCGTTGGAACATCTTGCAGCTGCAAATAGTACTGGACCCGCCCGGCTCGTGCTTTACAGTGTACGTAGTGGTGCCATCCCCTTTGATGGTGTAATAAATGTTCCCCCCATCCTCACGGATGCCCACAATTTCGCAATAAAAGCAGGCAGCTTCAATCTCTTCCTGCAAAGTGTAAAAAATAGATAGTGTGAATAAATCTGAGGCGTGCCGCTCTAATGCCAAGGGAGTCTTAAAATCGGGCAAGGACCCCTCGCACTGTGCATCCAGTTTAGCTTGATTGTGACGTTGTGTTTCAAGAACGCTTTCGAACTGCATGTAGAACTCTACCAAACTAGAATGGAGGCGTGTGAATTTCCCATAAACATTGTTTTGTGCTTCGGACTGAGATGTGGTGCGAACCAACCCACTCAAGGGAGAATCTATAAAAAAAGCAGGAATCCAATGATCCCTATCTGCATACAAGCTCTGGAACCAACGATGATCAGATAAGTTGTATTTCTCCATTAGCAGTTGCCATTGCACTTCGAAGTCACCGGTGGAGGTTGTTTCGTTCCACACAATATCATTCAAACTCTTGCGGAATACCTCATTGTTTGATAACTCAGGCCCGACTTTTTCACCAACCTTCGTCATAATGTGCCACATGCAATAACGGTGACGGCACCCGGGTAAAACCTGTCTTATAGCAATCTTCATAGCGGGGTCCTGATCGGTGACAACACATAGGGGGACATTTCCCATTGCATGAATGAATCTTTCTAATAGCCAACTATACGATTCCACGTCTTCTTTATTGAGCAGCCCTGCAGCAAGAGTGATGCATCGTTTGTGGTTGTCTACTCCAGTAAATGGTACGAACACCAAGTTGTACCTGCAATGACAGGGCAATGCAAACAAGTAAAGACAAAAAGTTCTATCATCAATATGGGGTTTAACCATGTATTGGTATGCAGATTGTAATTTAGTATGGGTAGTATAAACAAGAGTGCAATCCAGTACTATGCATTTAAAATGTAATCTGCTACACACCTGTTCGTGCTGTACGTGGCATCAAACGAAATCACGTCACCGTAACAGGAAAAACTCCGCCTACTAATAGGGTCGGCCCAAAAGAGTCGTGCAAGTCAGTTTTCTTCGTCGAGATGGTAATCGTAAAAGAAGCTGTCACAGACTTCACGCTTGGTTTTGAACCTTTCGATAATCAACTCACCATCAACTTCATCCACATACGCTTGCAAGTCTCGTTTAAAATTATGAAACTCCACATACGTTGCACCAACGTTCTCAAATGAACCCGCTACTTCCCTACATAACCTCATCCCTGTAGAAGCGCCCACATTAGCTTTAAAACAGTTGGCTAAAAATGCTTGTTGGGCTACATTAAGTTTCCTGTTACCCCGCATAAATAATTTAGCACCCTCAGAGCACAGACTATGAGTGTGGTCCTCGACAAATTTAGTTACCACAAACTCCCCAGTACTATTTTTCTTCAACCCAAGCTTGGCATTGCACCCGATTCTATTAGAAACCCTTCTTCGGCGTTGCTTATTGCTACTACTAGTAACATTGACGACTACGGTGGGTACCCTCCTACCACCTCCTTTCGCTCCTTGCCTGCTACAAACTAAAGAACGCCGAATAACTGCCCCGGTCCGATCTCGCTTAACACTGCTGTGCCTAATGTTAAAACCACCAACACGTCCGTAGTTCTTGTAGAATTCAATCCCTTCAGATAGTGATTTAAAACGTTGCCCGAGTACAGGTATGATTTTAGTGTCTACGGTGGGCTTCCAGTGTTGTTTCAGGCCGGTGGTAGGGCCCGGCGTGTAGTGCGTTACATCCCTAGTACTTGAATCACCATCAATTGAGCCTGTAATAGTCGCACCAACACATTAATTATAGCATTCGATTAATTACATTACTATATAATCTGAATAACAACATAAATACAAACTTAAAAACAGTCCAGATTATCATCTTTTCCTCCAAACTTTGTTATCATTGTAGGCTGGCGAATATCATGTTAGGCAAGCAGAACCTAGGTAATTATAATCTGCATGTGGGAGCAAAAATCCATAATACGGAACTACTTGAATGATAGTTCCCAACAATAACAACATTTAAATGATAGATCCCAGTTACATTCAATTAACAACAAATGCAGATTACCAATTACATTGTCACCACAACACCTTAGTATGGAACATTGTTTCTTTAACCATTAATATTCAATGCCAAACTTTGCTTGGGTTTGCTATAGTTCTAAACAGTGAATGAAACCCATATAAATTAATCACAGGGGGCTGGTAACGTTAAACCATCATTAAGCGCATGGGGCAAATAAAAAATTACGGGAATACTTAACGAAGCCATTGAAGCCATTGATAAACTTTGGAATTTAAACCAATCAGAGATGTGTAGTGGGAGTGGGAGTCAAAGAGTAAAGAGAATGGTGTATATATAGAGAATTGACAGGAAAGGAGGGAGGGGTTTAACTGTAGTTAACGGAGTGCGATCAAACGGAACACAGCAACACAGATGGAAGGGGGGGGGGGGGGGGTACCTGTGGGATAATGCTCCGCCGCACCAGCCGTCGGGGTTGCATCGCCGTGAATCTCCATCGTCACCATGTACGTAACCAGCACAGTCGGAGTTCAATATGTCAGCGGGGTGGTGATCGAAAATATAGGGGGAACATTCATAACTGGAGTCGTATTCCTACATAAACAGAAATACAAATTTGCAAGAGTAATTAACACGCGTGCCGGTGTACCGTAGCGGGCTGGACGTTCACCGTGGGCTGACGGATACAAAAAATCAATGCGCCAGATGAGTGCACATGTTCACACAAAAAGAAGTGGTTTGCACCAGAAAACCACCCTCTATATATATATATATATATATATATATATATATATATATATATATATATATATATATATATATATATATATATATATATATATATTAGGGCGTAATAATATATTTAATTTAATATTCAATATAATAATAATAATGATGATGTAATAAAAGTAAAATTATATTAGAAAGTAATGATTTAATATAAAACTTTACCAATAAATGTAAACACAATAAATGTATTCATATTGCTAATCTCATTTGACTAATTATTATTTTTATTTTTATTATTACTATTATTATTATTATTATTTTTCATTATTATTACTATTATTATTACTATTATTATTATTATTATTATTATTATTATTAAATAATAATAAATAATTATTAGACAAAGTTTAAGATTGTCAGAATTATGAAGAAGGTTTAATAAGAATAATAAGTATTATTAAGGTAAGTACTTATTTTGTTTATTATTATTATTATTGGTAAGTAATTATTATTATTAAATAATTATTAGACAAAGTTTAGGCTGAACTTATCCCTGCAAATATCTCCTATTCTCAAAAACGGGTCCCACTTTCACATTATCCCATTTGCAAATCATCTACTATTCACACTACATCCCTGCAAATCCAATCAACCTTCAAAAGTGCATCCCAATTTCACATCACTTTAAAAAATTAATATTTTTTTCTTCATAAATATTATTTTGTCTTCAACATTATTAATTTATATCAATATATAAATTATATTTAAATAGTAAATATAACAAATTTGAAAATAACTAATTACGTATGTATGTATTAATGGAAAAACTAAATGTATGTATTAATGAATTAATTTACATATATTAATGAATGTACGTATATCAGTCTTTCAAAAAAAAAAAAATATGTATATCAATATAATTTTTAGACACGTATGATGAAATTAATTTGTATGCATATTGTATTTCTAAATCAATGAAATATTATGTACTCTTTTAATATATTATTTTATTAAAAATTTATTACATATTAAATAAATAGAAAACCTAATACGGCAACAAAACAAACTAAACAAACAAAATAAAAAAGTCCTAAAATATAAAAACTAAATAAAACAAACAAAATAAAAAAAATAAAATAAAAAAAAAGTATGGTTGCAAGTTTGCAAGCAGAACAAACTTGCAATCCAACTCACTATTAAGAAAAAAAACATAGCTGGTACTTTCCATGTCATCTTGCAATGGACAAGTTTGCTGGGGTAATGCCAGCCTGAATTATGGAGAGTGTTTAATAATAACAATAAGTATTATTATGGTAAGTACTTATGTTGTTTATTATTATTATTACTATTGGTAAGTTATTATTATTATTATTAAATAATTATTAGACAAAGTTTAGGATTGTCAGAATTATGGAGATGATTTAATAAGAATAATTAGTATTATTAAGGTAAGTAATAATAATTTTCTTTCTATAAGAATAATTAGTATTATTAAGGTAAGTATTATTATTATTATTATTATTATTATTATTATTATTATTATTATTATTATTGTTATTGTTATTGTTATTGTTATTGTTATTGTTATTGTTATTGTTATTGTTATTGTTATTGTTATTATTATTATTATTATTATTATTATTATTATTATTATTATTGCTTTCACACTTTGGAGGGAAAACTTTTTTGCCAATCATTTTGCTTTAATATATATAGAGATAGAGATGATATAAAATTTAAATTTAAATTTTGTATGTTATGAAAATAGATCCTTGACCAAATATATAAAAGTCCAACTATATTATTATATTGTACATTTTAACATCTTTTATTTTTTTCTATTTTAAATTTTAAATTCATATTAACAAAAAAAATTCCGTGCAACATACGGGTAAAACACTATATTTTTAAAATTAAAATTTGATAAATATTATAAATAATTAGTAAAATATCATTTCTGTTTATAATAATTAAAGAGAATAAAATAAATAATTCAAATATTTGAACCAATGATTTCAAAATGAAATTAATATACCGTTTACAAATAAATATAGCATGATTAGATTTACTTTAATTAGTTTAATTTCCTTAATGAAATGACTTTTCTCTATCAATTTTTGATGGGAGACTAAGGGAGCAACAATTATATTGTCCAAAATAACAGACACTATAGTGTATCTAAACTGACACTGTCTCACATATTATTTTTTATTATATTATCAAATGAAATTGCACTTGAATTAAAATGAAATTGTAGTTGTGGTGAAATGAAACTGCAGTGTATACAAAATAAAACTGAATACTAATTTCACATATTTGAGTGTATAATGTCCAGTGAAACTGTAGTTATATCAAAATGATATTGTAGTTTTGTTGAAAAGAAACTGCAGTGCATATTTGATGCTTGGACCATAATGCATTATAGACCGCGGTCCACAGTATAATTTGCCCTAAGGGAGTGTTTGGGTTGCTAGAAAATATTTCAAAATAAAAATACTTAATAATTAAAATTAATTTTAAAATTTTATTTTAACCCCTCATAACATGTGTAAATCTTATATTTTTAAAAAATACAATTTGATAAATATCACTAATTAATTAGTACAATATCATTTCTGTTTATAATAATTAAAGAAAAATAAATAGTTCACATATGTGAACGGTGAACCAATGATTTTAAAATGAAATTAATATACAGTTACAAATTAAATAAATATAACATGGTTAGATTTATTTTAATTATTTTTAATTTTCCTAATGAAATGACTTTTCTTTATCCGTTTTTGATGGTAGGCTAAGGGAGTGTTTGGGTTGCTGGAAAATATTTTAAAAATAAAAATACTTTCTAAAAAATGATTTTAAAATATTTTTTAACCCCTCATAACATGTGTAAATCTTATATTTTTAGAAATACAATTTGATAAATATCATAAATTAATTAGTACAATATCATTTCTGTTTATAATAATTCAAGAGAATTTAAATAATTCAAATATGTGAACCATTGATTTCAAAATAAAATTAATATACAGTTACAAATTAATATAGCATGATTAGATTTACTTTAATTAATTTTAATTTCCTTAATGAAATGATGTTTCTTTATTAGTTTTTGATGAGAGACTAAGTGAGTGTTTGAGTTGCTTAAAAGTATTTTAAAAATAAAAATACTTACTAATTAAAAAAAATTAAAATATTTTTAACCCTTAAACATGCGAAAATTTTATATTTAAAAAAAAAAGATACAATTTTGATAAATATCATGAATTAATTATTGCCATATCATTTATGTTTACAATGAGAATAATTAAAGAAAAAAATAACTAATTCAAATATGTGAACCAATGATTTCAAAATGAAATTAATATACAGTTACAAATAAATATAGCATGATTAGATTTATTTTAATTAGTTTTAATTTCCTTAATGAAATGACTTTTCTTTATCAGTTTTTGATGAGAGACTAAGGGAGTGTTTGGGTTGCTGAAAAATATTTTAAAAATAAAAATAATTTTAACATATTTTTTTAACCCCTAAACATGTGAAAATTTATATTTTAAAAAAGATACAATTTGATATATCATAAATTAATTATTGCAATATCATTTATGTTTACAATAATGAGAATAATTAAAGAAAAAATAAATAATTCAAATATGTGAATCAATGATAAATAAAATCTCTAAAGTGACAGCACCGCATGCGTACATCTATATATCGATCCAACTATTAATTTTAATAATTATTTTGCTCAAATTCAAGCAATGATAACATAAAAACACATAAACGATCCTAAGCATATATATCTTTAATTGCACTATATAATATTTGATGTTTTAATTTAAATAATTATATATCGATCTAAATATTCTTAATATATTACAACAAATCAATTCCGTGTATCACACGGGCGAAAATACTAGTAAAGTATAAAAATATTAATCGAACTCAACCTAAATACTCATATGAAATTTACATTTAAATTGATAAGCATTTTCTTTTCTTTCCTCCTATCGTTTTTCTCTAGAGCTCTTCTTTTCTCACATACTTTACCATTTTATCTACAAATTTAATGCGGGTGGCTAAAATTGCATTACAAATACATAAACGGTCATGTTGAGATCAATAAAAATTTTAAAATAGTCATCCAATCTAATTTTAGTTGCAGTGCTTTAAATGCTATTCGAATTACTTTTGTTATGGTCAACTAACAATAGAGTAGATGTGGTTTAAGTTCCAGTGTGGGTGAATGCTTCTCGTGCGATTGTGCGGGTGATTAATGTGTGTGAGTTTTGTACTTAGTGTGCATGAGTCTTGTGCTTAAGGTGTGTGAGGTTTGTGCTTAATGTGCGTGAGTGTGTAATGCTTAATGTGTGTGAGTTTTGTACTTAAGGTGCATGAGTCTTGTGTCTAATGTGCGTGAGTTGTGTGCTTAATGTGCGTGAGTGTGTACTTAATGTGAGTTGTTTGTTGAAACTTTAAAATGCATGAGTTTTGTGCTTAAGGTGTGTGAGTCTTGTGCTTAAGGTGCATTAGTTTTGTACTTAATGTGCGTGAGTATGTGCTTAATGTAAGTTGTTGTTAAAACTTAAGTGCATGTGTTTTTGTGCTTAAGGTGCATGAGTTTTGTGCTTAAGGTGAGTGAGGGTTGTGCTTAAGAGGCGTGACTTTTGTGCTTAAAGTGTGCGAATTTGTGTTAAAACTCACGCACATTAATAAGCACAAACCTCACGCACCTTAATATGATGTCGGTTATTTGATATAACCGATGTCGTATGTATTTAAAAAAATAATAAAAAATAATTTTAAATATTTAACGTCGGATTTTATAAAATCCGACGTTAAAATGGTGACGTTAAAACCGTTTTCTGTAGTACTGTAAGCACAATACATCACGCACACTAAGTACAAAACTCACGCACATTTATCACCCGCACAACCGCTGCCCCCACTCACCCCACCCCCACCCCATATATAGCCCTTGTATGTATATATGTGTGTGTGTGTGTGTGTGTGTGTATATATATATATATATATATATATATATATATATATATATATATATATACATGTTTAGATATAAATATAAAAAAAAAACAGATAAGAGTACACAATAGGTGAGCTGGGCAAGATGGCAAGGTGCGTGCTTAATGCTAGGAAGTGTCTTTTTTTTTAAATATATATAACTTCTTTTATATTAATAATGAGATGTGTAATTTATAATGTGTTTTCTATTTGAATTATTTTATCAAATCAGTTATGTTTCATATTTTGTTATGAGTATTTTATTTTTCATATTTTATTTTATCAAATTATTTAGTTATGTTTCATATTTTATTTTTCGCCTACATCTAATAATATTTAATTATTTATGACTATATTAAGTGTTTCATTGTTTTTTAAACTATAATGTTTCGCCCCCACTAGACAAAATTTCTGGGTCCACCACTGACCACACGGGAAGCTATAATCGCACCTGAATCCTTCCCGAATAGACGTTGATTATTTTGAAACCTAGCTTTAAAATTAAAATTTTGTATCACTTGTTTTATTTAATTATTGTGACATGTCATAATTTCCTTCTCAGGAATTTTTTTTTTTTTTTTGTTATTTTGTAACTCAGAATTTACATTCTCTAATGATTCTGAAAGCAAGAAACTAAAGATTAAAATTAGTTTGACTTACGTTAGAAACTTATAGTAGTTACTAACAGGGAGGAAAAAAAAAAAAAAAACGCGTACGGTGACGTAGGTACCCAGGATGCGCAATTGCTATAGGAAATTTCCCATCTTTAATTTAGACTTAGCTTTCTCTTCCCAGGCCCTCAATAATTTCCTCTTTCCCTTTATAAATTCAAGTCCTTCAATTCACAGCTACTCATCTAGCTGCACTCTCAACTTTTGTAGCTTAATTTCCTTTACTTTACTCACTTCATCTGTCCATCCATGTCAACCCCAACTATTGGTCTTCAATCTCTCCCTTGGGAGTATGATGTATTCTTGAGTTTCCGAGGCGTGGACACTCGCAAAACCTTCACCGGTCATCTTTATTCTGCATTGCATCATGCCAAAATTCGCACATTCATAGACGATGAGGAACTCAAAAAGGGAGAATATCTCGCGCCTGAATTCACCAGAGCAATCCAAAGTTCGAGAATCTCTATGATAATCTTGTCAAAAAATTATCCCTCATCTAAGTGGTGCCTTGAGGAGCTGGTGCAAATCCTTGAGTGCAAGGAGAAGGGAAAACAGTTAGTTTTTCCTATTTTTTATGGCGTTGATCCTTCTGAAGTGCGCAATCAACGTGAGGTCTATGGGATGGCCTTGACAGAGCATGAAAAAAAAATTGAAGGAAATAAGATACAGAAATGGAAAGATGCTCTCACTAAAGTTGGAAACATGTCGGGTTGGCATTTGCAAGGAATCGCCAGTGAGTATTGCTTTCTCATTTTCTTTAATTTGGACTATTCTTAATTTTTTGATCAATTATATATCATATATATTTTTTCATTTTTAATCCTCAACTTTGAAATTGAACAAACACGATTTTTTTCCATTCATATTGAATTACGTGTGCACTTTAATTAATTAGTTTTATTCATTCAGCATTTATTATTGCATGTTATTTACTGTAGCATTTTGAAGTTAGTTAATTAATTGATTGGTTAGCAAGTGTGTTATTGTTATATGCTTCTGTTATAACCTAGCTAGATGCACTTTTGTTGGAATTTGGGCTTTAATTTTCTACTTAATTATTATTGAAGGTTAGCAAGTGTGTTATTGTTATATGCTTTTGTTATAACCTAGCTAGATGCACTTTTGTAGGAATTTGGGCTTTAATTTTCTACTTAATTATTATTGAAGGTGTGAATCAAAATTCATTGATGAAATTATCAACAAAGTCAAATCGGTAGTAAAGCGAGTACCCATGTATGTTTCCAATTATGTGGTTGGACTTGAATCTCAAGTTGAGCACGTGGTCCGTTCCATGTGGGGGGAGGAGGACAATAGTGTTCGCATGATTGGAATATATGGGGTAGATGGTATGGGAAAGACTACTCTTGTCCAAGTTCTCTATAACAAATTTTTTGGGTATTTTGAGAGGATTTGCTTTCTTGAGATAAGTTCAGAAGTTTCCGCGATAAGAATTTTACAAGAAAGGTTTCTTAGAAAACTTCTTAACAGGGACATTAATGTTGACAGTGTGGGTGAAGGTATGATGACTATAAAAAATTGGCTTCAAACAAAAAAGTGTCTCATTGTTCTTGATAATCTAGAGGACATAGACCAATTTAAGGCACTATGTGGAGAACGAGATTGGTTTGGTGCCGGAAGTAGAATTATTTTAACAACCCGAGATGCACAGTTGTTGAATGAATTGGAAAAAGGTGAACAATATGAAATCAAGGCATTGGATCGTGGGCAGTCCTTGCAGCTCTTTAGTCATCATGCATTTAAATGGTGTTTTTTACTAAAAGAAGATTATACTGAGATTTTAGATGACATGGTGGCTTATTGTGAGGGAATCCCATTAGCTCTTGAAGTGATAGGGGCTTCTTTGTATAATAAATCAAAGGAGGAATGGATGGATACTTTTGAGAAATTGAAGAAAATTCCTAATAAGAAAGTTATAACTAAACTCAAAATTAGTTTTGATGAACTTCCAGATGATAATATAAAATCTCTCTTTCTTGATCTTGTTTGTTTCTCCCGTGAAGTTTCCATGGAGACAATTGATAGCTTGGGGTATTTCTCTCACAATGAAATTCAAGGTTTGGTTGACAAATGCTTGATAAAACTTATGGGATGCCGGATTAGTATGCATAGCTTAATTCAAAAGATGGGAAGAGAAATTATTTGTCTAGAATCACCCAAAAATCCAGGTGAACGTAGTAGATTGTGGTGTTCTAATGATATTCATGATGTGCTTAACGGACGACATAAGGTAATGATTCTGTTAATTTATTTGTCTCATTATTCTTAGTATACATCAATCTTATTATGTCAACCTTGGTATTTAAGCTCTTCCTTATCACAATGAAGAGATTCTTTTCCTCTCAGTTTTGTGTGGTTTACTCTGCTCATATAATTACATTTGAGTCACACATTTGATAAAAATTTCGAACATAATCCAGTTTATTGAATATGACTATATATATTTACCACGAGTTAATTTCTTTATAATTTCTAATGAGGATACAAGACATTGAATTTGTTTTAGTTTCCATGCTCTTCTAACGTATAAATCTATAAATCTTGCTATATTATAATTTTCAATTGTAAATACGTGTAATTATTTGAGCTCTTTCAAGTCTCAATGTCTCATACATATATAGAAATAATCAATATAATAAAATTTTTATTATTCCTGGAATTATATTGATTATATATTATATACAAAGAAATGCTATTATATATAATGTAGATTGCAAAATAGGCTGCTGCAAATTCAATTATATGTAATGTCGTTTTAAAATGGAAAGATATATAGCGTCTTAGTTGGTGAACAACAAAATTTACTACTCACTATTATGGAGCATTAATTATTTATATTTTGTTTTCTTATAATGAAATTCAAAGGGATACAATTCTAAACTTCAAGTTAATTTTAAAATTTAAAGTGTCCTATAATTGAAAACTAGATTCATTTTATATGGTATTTATTTTGATATAATCTTGATCTGTGAAGATTATACACTACTTTTTTGCTCAATTTAGTGGAAATAACTATATATTTACCACATGTAGTTAATTTCTAATTAATGAGGTTACATGACACAAAACCATACCATTGCTTTAGTTTCCATGCTCTTCTAGTGTATGAATCTACAACTCGATATATTATAATTTTCACCTGTAAATATATATTATTATTTGAGCTCTTTCAAGTCTCTTATACAAAAATAATCAATAACAGTTTTATTATTCATCAAATTGATTATATATATTTACAAAGAAATACTATTATATATAATGTAGGTTGCAAGATAGGCTGCTGCAAATTCAATTATGGCCCTGTTTGGTAAAAAAGGGTAAAAAATTGGTCTATAGGTCAATTTTGGCTTATTTGACCACTATTAATTGTTTGATTTAGTTAAAATATCAATATAAGTGTTTGGTTAATTAGCTTTTTGTAATTCTAAAATGCTAAAATTCAAAAAGCTACTCCAAACAACTTTTTCAATTAACTTTTTCAAAAAAAGAAATTATACCAAACAGTTATCAACTAACAGCTAATTTATCAAACACTTTTCTACAACAGCTAATGTTATCAACTAGTTATACCCTTTAATTAACACAATCAGCTAACAGCTAATATCCATTTACCAAATAGGGCTGTAATGTTGTTTTAGAACTGGAAGATATGTAGCGTCTCATAGTTGGTGACCAACAAAATTTACTACTCACTATTATGGAGCATTAATTGTTTATATTTTGTTTTGTTATAATGAAATTCATTATATACCAAATTTTGCTTACATCATTCTCTCATATCTTGGCTCTGTTTGGCAGAGCTTATTTAGGAGCTTATAACTTATTTTAAACTCTTAATAAGTTATAAGCTCTGTTTGGTAATGTTCCCAAAATAAGCTCCTAGCTTAAAATAAGAGCTTATTTTGGAATGCTACTTTAGGTAGCGTTTCAAAATAAGCTCATAGCTTCCTAACTTTTTTTCATCTTTATCCTTATTATTTTAAAGAAATGACATAATTTACCCTTCCCAATTAAATCCCTTTTTCTCTTCTCCTTTATCCGCAACTTTCACCGCAAATATTATTATTATTCCGCAAATATTATTATTATTATTATTATTATTATTATTATTATTATTATTATTATTATTATTATTATTATGAGATTTGCAACAATATTGCTACTTCATTATGAGATGCTAAATCATGATTATGCTAATAGTTTTATTTCAAAATGTTAATTTTTTTTTAAAGACAAAATGTTAAATTTTAATATGTAAACAAACTAATTTAAATATTATGAAGATGTCCTTTTTAGTCTTTTTACATTTATCACCTTATCAAAAAGCTATTTTTACCAAACACTTCCAATCATAGCAGCTAGCTTAACAGCTCTTCAGTTTTCAGCTCCGAGCTTATACCTTTTCAGCTTTCAGCTCCTTTTCAGCTAGGTTTGCCAAACAGAGCCAAGTTACGTTCAATTAAAATAGCTATTTATTTACTAAGCAAAATAGTGTATGTGTTTTGTTAACTAATTTGTTTTTATGTGCAGGGTACGGAAAAGATTGAAATGATTGTATTAAACTCTTCACGGGAAAATAGAGAGTACAAATACAATACAAAAGCATTTAAGGACATGAAGAATTTAAGATTTCTTCAAATTGATGGAATCCACTTGGAAGGAAACTTTAAACATCTACCACGCAAGACACTTATATGCTTGCAATGGAATCAATGTCCTTTGAAATATATTCCATCCGGTTATTTGTTTGAGAAGCTCGTGAAGCTGGAAATGCAATGGAGCAACATAAAAGAATTTGGAGCCCCACTAAAGGTAATTTGGCAATACTTTTTTCTATTTAATAGCTCTTTGCTTATAATAAAATTGTTAAAGACTACAGTAACTTCTAATTCAAATTTTTTTAATTTGTTTCTATGGCTTTTATTTGTTGAATCCATTGAAATAGTATTTTCCATGTCTTGAGTCTTTGGATCTTGGAGGGTGTAAATATCTCACGAGGACTCCAAACTTTAGCGGTGCTAAAAATCTTCGTAAGCTATCATTTATGGAATGCTCAAGTTTGGAGAAGGTGCACTCTTCTATTGGAGACCTGAGGATGCTAGTTGAATTAGATTTGAGTTATTGTGAAAGGCTGAAGAAACTTCCAAAGAAGTTTTGGCATTGGCAGTTGAGATCAGCAGAAGATCCATCATCATCAGTGTGTTATTCCTCAAAAATAAAAGAATTGGGTGAAAATTCGGGGATGTTAACCTCACTTCGAATTTTGAACTTACATAGAACCAATATTCACAACCTGCCCGCCAACACTACCTCTCATTTGTTAAAGCCTCCTAAATCAATCCCAAATTTGTGGAGGAGTTTCTTCCAGAATGACCACCTCAAACTAATCCCACAATTTCCTCCTAATCTTAAGCATATTAGCTTATACAAATGCAAAAACTTGAAAGTAGTCTCAGCAACATTTCCTACTTGCCTTGAGCGGATTTTTTTATATGGCTGCACAAACCTAAAAATGCTGCTTGAACTTCCTCAAAATCTCCAATCTCTTTCTGCTATCAATTGTGAGTCGCTGGAAACAGTATACTTACCAAAGATGTTGAAATATGTGAATCTCACCCATTGCAAAAAATTAAAGGAGATTCAAGGCTGGGAGAATGCTCAATTTTTAACTGGAATCGAATTAAGAGGTGTTCCCAATATCAAGTTATCAGAAATCATAAATAAGGTAGATATACCTCTCTTCTCTATCTCTCTTCAATTTGTGTTATGTACAACATCTTCAATTCTCTCTCTTCAAGTTTTAGTAGGGATTAATACATAAGATAGATATAAGTTGGTGCATCATTTCTACCCAATCTTACTCTTTTCACACTTGTCTGTTTTTCTTATACAGGTTTTAAAAGTTTCCAAGTTGAATTCCAATATTGAATTTGAAGGATATCTTCCAAATAATGAAACTTTGAGTTGGATTAAGTTTGAGGAAAATGGATCATCAATATCTTTCCAATGGCCGCCATTAATATCTAATTTGGAATTCCTTGGAATTTGCATTTGGGTGGGACTACTGTGGCTCAACGCTAAAGATTGTTATAAATACTACGGCACAATTGAAAAGGATGGCTTCACAGTCTGGAGTCGTAGTTGGTATTCATTACTAATTGGAGTCCAAGTCGAATTATTAGAAGAAGGGGAAGATGTTGTTTCATTTGTAGATTTCATTCCACAGGATTGCTTTATAGATATAAAAGCTAGAGAAATCTTTAAAGTTATTCTAGAGGTGAGAGCCGTAGGAAATGTTAATAAAGGTTGGGTGAAGAAAATAAGAGCAGAAGCATTGTATAGAGATAGAGAAAATGGCTTCCTACAATTTGTACCCATTACTAAACTTGAGTCGAACACAGAAGAAAGAAGAAAATGACTTTTGAAGTCCGCCCAAAAATATTCTTTTTTCATAATTTTTTTGTTAATAATATTATTCCAACATTCTGTGTTTGTGCTTATTAATTAATTATTAAGAGCATTATATTTTGTACTTTCAAAGTACTTTTGTGATGATGAATTAGTGAGTTGACTATTTTTCAACAATATTATTTCTTAGATTAAATTTGTGTATAATTTAAATAGAATATGTAAGAAGACTCATTCCACAAGGTAGAGTGAGAAGTTGTTAAGAAGAATTGAAACATGACTTTTTAAGTATGAAAATTAGGTGTAATCTACTCAATCATCTTTTCGGAGATATTATTTTTATGTTTGTCATAATCAGTATTCAGCAGGTGATTATTATTTCTGAGAAATATTAAATAGACTAAATCTTGGGCCCTATATGACAAATACATAAATGCATGCTGAAATGTCTTCGTTAGTTCCTTGATGGCCGGCAATTTATATCATGGATCAAGGTCCACATAGTATTGTGGACCCTAGATTAAAACGATGTTGTTTTGACATTTAAGTGTTAATAGATTCTGTAGTTTCTCGTTTTTCATGTTTCAACACAATTTTTAATTTATTTTAGGTATAGAATCAATACTTTTAAGATACAAAATTTAATAACACGAGACATAAAACTCACAATACAAGACACATACGCATGTTACATATTTATTTATGAATTTACTATCGAAATTGTAAAGTTACCAATTTGGTCCTCGAGGATTTTTCGTGCCCAATTAAGTCATCGACTTTGAAAATGTTAACTGGTTTAGTCTTCCGTTTGTTTTGTTGTTAGACATCCGTTAACTCTGGAACAAATTGGTAATTTTGCTATAGTCAATGGACCATTTCAGTAATTAACTTTCGGAAAAAATGGTGCGTGTAATGACCGAAATTAACATTTACGCGAATTTTTTTTTTTTTTTGGAAATTCGTGAATATTTAATATGTTCAAAATTAGAACTAATTACATTTACGCACCTTAAGCTATAAAACTACCCCCTTAAGTTTTGAACTGATATACCTTAAACTAGAAAAGTGGTGCACCTTAAGCTATAAAACTACGTACGCACTTTAACCTTATAAGGGTGTCGCAGAAAGTAGTATTTTTTTTTTTTTTTTATAAAGAAACCGCTACACTTTAAATAAAAGTGTAGTGTTTTCTGATATATTTATTTATAGTTTATCATCACACTTTTTTTTTTTTTTTTTTTTTTAACTTTACACTACAATTTTATTAAAAGGTGTAGCAAAAACACATGCTTTTATGTTAATTTTTGTAATAGTGGTGGGTAGATAAAAGTGAGTCCAATAAATTATTTAAAGCCCATTCTAAAGTATCCCTTCTAGATTTTGGGTCTGCCTATGTTTGAAGGACTATATGTTTTCTTTTTTTTAGGAGGAAGACCATATGTTATAATTGTATTTTTTTTTTGAATGCTACTGACTTTATTACAAAGATCCAATAATGCATTCACTGAGACTCGAACTCACAACCTCCCATATGGAAGTTTAACCCGGATGCCATCTGAGCACAAGGTGCTTGGCAATCGTATGCATATATACATTTTCATATTTTGATTTCAGTTATTAATTGTTAATTATGGAATGGACAAATTTATTGAGAAGTAAAAGTGTACTCAAAAGTCTAAAGCTTGGAAAATAGCAATCCCAATAGGTCTCTTGGCTTACCGATTATACACCATCAACTAGTTATACACCATCAACTAGTTTATATTATGTTACTCCAGCAATAAAGTTTGTTGTGAATCATAAATAAAAAATTATATTTTAAATATATTAAAAATAAATTATTTATGTACTGAAGGTATAATATTTAATAATATGAAAAATAATATACATTCAATATTCAAATGATCTATTTTCAAATAATGTGCCTTTAATATTTTTAAAATGTTCATTTTATTCATATTCATGGAATAATGATTACTCTAGCTCAATAACACTCATGGACTATAATGATTTGTTCAAATATAAAATAAAAGATATTTGGACAATAACCCATATGAACAATCCTACATGGACAATTGTATACACTTTTGTAGTAAATAAGCAATCGTTATTGTAACACCCCGTGTTACGGCCTCTAACCCAAACTTATTATTTAATTACTTATCCTAAAAAGAGGATTAAAATCCATTAATTAACTAGGGAGGGTCCACCATAGTCCATGGACCCTTATCCCTAAAACCAACCCCCTAGTCCTATAAGAAGTAGAACTAGCAAACCCATACCATCTAGGCCCTAATTAGGACTCTTAGATATATAAATAGGAGCATAGGAGGCACCTAGAAGTCACACCACAATAAATATCACCACACAAGAATTCCCAAGAATTCTCTTATCACCAACGTAGGAGAAATCAAGAAGAAGAGATCTTAGAGAAAGAACCTTCATAGCCAAGGAATCTAATTAAGGCTAAGAGGTAACCCGTGTCTCAACAAAACTTATTTTCTTTGATATAATCTTCTTCTTTGGCTTCTTCTCTATGTTTGTGTCTTGGTAAATCTTTTATGGTGATGATGATATGATCTTGATAATTGATGAGATGATCTTATGTGTTGTTCTTGATAATCTTGATGATTATAAGAGGATCTTAATAATTGTGTGATGTTCTTGATGAATCTTGATGTTCTTGATCTTAAAATATAAACAAAGATTTTGATGATTTGAATATGATTAGAGCCCTAGGGTGAATTGAGAATTTCGTATTGTGATATTCTTGGTATATTTGGGTGGAATTTCGCATGTTCGGGTGTTATTTATGTTTAGAAGTCATGTTAAGGATATGTTCAATATGATTCTTGGTTTTAATCCATTATTTGACTACGTGGTGTCGTCGTTTGTGTTTAAAAGTGTCTAAACATGGTTTCGGGTTCCACGAAGGATCCCGAGATCTATATTTTGAAAAAGAGTCAGTGGGGGTAGGGGGACCCGCCACCTACTCGCTGCCCGAATTGGCCTCACCGGCAGCGAGCAGCCGGCGGGCAGCCGACGGATGGTCCTCCACCCGCCGGCCACCCGCTGGATTTTTCCCACCTTGGGATTTTGGCTTCCCCGTTTGATGTTCCCCGATCCTCGTGGTGTCCCGACGGACTTCGTTTATCGTGCCTAACTCTAGTTTGATTATTCGGGTACCGTTCGTAGGATAAAAGAGTCTTGTGTTTTGCATGCTAGTTGAATTGGTACCCCGTTGACCTAGGAGAAAGATGCATGAGCCCTGAGGGTATTTCCCAGTATGTGGATGACCATGCATAGGTTTCTTTATACGTTTTCTCCCATTTCCCAATGTGTTAATGTGAATTGCATGTGCTTGCTACGTGATATATGTGCATGACTCTTGGCTGCGGTCAAGTTGGTTCTCATAGGCTGCAGTCCACCGACTGAGCTCGTCAGCGGTGTGTAGGGATGCAGTTCACCAAGTGGGCCTCGTGTGCTATAGTCCACCGACTGAACGCGTCAGCGGTGTGTAGGGCTACGAGCCACGAGGAAGGCCATAGTCCACCGACTGAGCTCGTCAGCGGTGTGTAGGGCTATGGTCGGCTGCGATCCACCGACTGAGCTTGACAGCGGTGTGTAGGATTGTAGTCCCCAAAAGAAGGTCATAGTCCACCGACTGAACCCCTCAGCGGTGTGTAGGGTTATGATCGGCTACGATCCACTAACTGAGCTCGCCAGCGGTGTGTAGGGTCGTAGTCCCCAAAAGAGGATCACAGTCCACCGACTGAACGCGTCAGCAGTGTGTAGGACTGTGGTCCGCCGTTGAATGCATCGACGGTCTATACAATTGGCTGCGGTCAATTCCTTCATGCTGTGGTATGAGGTAGGGTGCTGCAGGGCTGTGTTAGCGCTATATGCGCTGACCCTCATGTATGGGCATGCGATTGGTCCTGTGGCGCCACCAAAGTATGCTTGTGTGACAAAGATATTGATTGAATGATGATGTGAATATATGAAAGTAAACTGTGACCTTAGATACAAATATTGATATATGATGTTGTCTCTATATAATTGATTATCATTGTTGAATGTGCTTATCCCTATCTGTCGAGTCTAATCCTGGTTTTAAAGCTAGAGTCTCCTAATTATATATCTTCCTGCTTCAAAATGGTTTCCCTATATCTATGTATATATATTTACCTATATTGTATTTTAACGCGTTAGAGTGGGTTACCAGCATTATTCGCTGAACAGATATATTTGGCTTTCAAGCACAGATGATTAGCCACCGGAGCACGCTAGAGGACCTCAGCTTAGATAGTTAGTCTTTCCTTTCGGCCTGCCTGCCTTGATGATGTAAAAGCATTGTTTGAGGATAGTTAGTTGATGTAGCCTGTGCATCTGAGTTCTCCAGCTCAGATGTGGCATAACACCCTAGACCCTTATGCTCTATTTGGAATTAATTAATAGAATTGCCTTCATATTATAAGATTGAAAAGTTTTAAAATTTTCGGGGTGTTACAGTTATGCTATGGACTCGTGTCCAGCATGCACGGTGAACACGGTAACAGTGCCGTTAGTGGCACCGTTATCTTCCACTTTTTTTTTAAAAAAAATTCCAGTCCGCTTCGTTATAGGTGTATATGTTCATAAGTTTATCACTAGATGTTCATAATTGTAAGTTCATAATGTCAGAGCTCTGTGTTCATAATTCCATAACTGTACATTCATACTTCCATAACTGTACATTCATAATTCCGTAACTATACATTCATACTTTCATAACTGTACATTCATAATTCCGTAACTATACATTCATAATTCAATAACTGTAAATTCATAATTTTTGAAGCTCTATGTTCACAATTTTAGAGCTCTATGTTCATAATTTTATCACTATATGTTCATATTGTAAGTTCATAATGTCAGAGCTCTGTGTTCGTAATTCCATAACTGTGTTAAACATTACAACACCAATAATCTGCTTAGACTGATAATAAATTATAATTCAATATATGTTTTTAATTTCTGTTGCTTTTTGTTAATTGAATTGATCAAAACAGTATTTTCTTTGTCTGGAGTCTTTGGATTTCTCTGACTGCTTTCATCTCACAAGGACTCCGAACTTTAGTGGCTAACAAAATCTCCGTAAGTTATCATTTATAGGATGCTTTAGTTTGTTAAAGGTGCATTCTTCCATCGGAGAATTGGGGAAATTAGTTTCTTTAAGTTTTGTTTGCTGTCAAAAGTTAAAGAAATTTCCAAAGAACGTCAGCCATTTGCGGTCACTGCAAGATCTTCATATATTCTATTCATCAGAACTTGAAGTATCCCCTGAAATTTTTGGAAATTTAACCTCATTACAAAGTCTAAGTCTTGAACATACCCTTTGTTATGGGGTGCTCTCCTACCTGTCTCATTTGTTCAACCTTGAATCAGTTAAGTTGAATTTATGCAAGAACCAAGAAGTACTCCAACTTCCTCACACTGTTGAAGTGGTCAGATTGCATGATTGTGTCAATTTGAAAATGATCCAAGAGCTTCCACTTAACCTTAGGAGTATTTATTTAGATAGTTGCAAAAGTCTTAAAATGCTTCCAAAACTTCCTCCAAATCTTGAGGATATTACTTTAGATGGCTGTTAAACCCTTGAAATGCTCTCGGAACTTCCTCTCAATCTTAAGACAATTAGGTTATCTAGTAGTGGAAGTCTTAAAATACTTCCCATACTTCCTCCCAATCTTACGGCGATTTGTTTAGGTGGTTGTGGAATTTTTGAAATGCTTCCAGAACTTCCTCCAAATCTTGTGTATATTACTTTAGATGGCTGTGAAAACCTTGAAATGCTCCGGAAACTTCCTCTAAATCTTGAGTATATTACTTTAGATGGCTGTGAAAACCTTGAAATGCTCCTAGAACTTCCCCTCAATCTTAAGAAAATTAGGTTATCTAGTTGCAAAAGTCTTAAAATGCTTCGAAAACTTCATCCCAATCTTAGGGAGATTTATTTAGGTGGTTGTGGAAATTTTGAAATGCTTCCAGAACTTCCTCCAAATCTTGAGTATATTACTTTAGGTGGCTGTGAAAATCTTGAAATGCTCCCGGAACTTCCTCTCAATCTTGAGAGAATTAGTTTATCTAGTTGCAAAAACCTTAAAATGCTTCCAAAATTTCCTCCCAATGTTACTGAAATCTTCTTAGATGATTGCGAAAACCTGAAATTGCTCTCAGAACTTCCACCAAAACTTCAAGATCTTAAGGTTCAAAATTGTGAGTTGATTGAAAAAGTATCAAACTTATCAAATTGTACGGGGTTGCGTTATTTCCATCTCGTTGGTTGAAAAAAGTTGAAGGAGTTTAAAGGTTGGGAGAATCTTCATTCCCTAAGGACAATGGTGTTCGGAGGTGATCCCCATTCCGATTTCTCAGAAAGCATTAAAGAGGTACATATGTTTTTCCCGCTCTTCAATTTATGTAATTTCTATCCATTAATTCTTACTATTGTCACATATGTTTGATTTCCTTTCATAAGTTTTAAAATGCTCCAAGAATTCCAATGGTCTTCTTGCTTGTAATGAAATTCCTGGTTAGATTAGATGTCATAAAGAAAAATCATCAATATCATTTCAATGTCCATAATCCAATTTGAAGAATAATACATTGGAATTTTATGGATTTGTTTTTTTGGTTGTGTTGAATCCGGCTCCACTACTCCCACCACTTTATTGTTATTATGGCATCAAAATTGAAATGCATCATTCCAAAGACTTCCTAGAAACATGGTATTTTTATCGTGGTCCGATCCAATTAGAAGTGGAAGGAATTACATTTTTACATGTCATTATAGCTAATTATCTTTACGATTATGATGGGTATGGAGATATAAAAGCCGGAGATATCATCAAAGCTACACCTATAATTGAAGTTTATGAAGGATTCTACAAAGATGGGAATATATCATTTGGTGAAGCAAGTTTGGAGAAAGAAATAAGAGTTAAAGCAAGTGTGGTGAATAAAATAGGAGTTGAAGCATTATACAGAGATAAAGACGGCTCCCTACAACTTCTACCCCTCACTAAAGTTGGGTAGCTAAAACACTGAGGATGAAGAAGAAGAAGAATTACTGGAAGCGCCAAATATAAGACCCAAAAAGATTTTTTTGTTCATGTTGTGTATGTCTCATACATATTCGAGGATGGTAGGCGTTGAACAGAACGGAGCAGAGTGGAGTGGCGGAGAATCTTTTCGTGGCATTTTGGAATGGAACAGAAGTTGTAATCAAAGTTTTGTTGGAGCAAGATTTGACTGCTGAAAACATGGAGGATTTCTGCAATGAAATTTCCATCCTAAGGTATCTTGTCGTCTCTCTCTCTTTTTTATGTTTTTTCCTTATAGTTATATTATTTCTCTGTGCTTGCACAAAGCGTCCACATCTATCCATGGTTACTGAGTACATGGATATGGGATCACTTTACTATTTCATTCATTTAAGTGGGCAAAAGAAGCTACCCAGCTGGCGAAGGAGACTTAAGATGCTATGTGACCTATGCAGGTGTGTTATTTTTATGTTAAAAAACAATCGTGAAATTATGATGATAGGTTTTGTATTGCAGGCTATTGTTTATTAACTGACTGTTATTTTCTATCTGCGTACTAAGAGGGTTGATGTGCATTCATCGCACGAAGATAGTTCCTCGAGCTAGATCTAAAATCTGCAAATTGTCTTGTGAATAAGCATTGGACAGTAAAGATATGTGATTTCGGTCTCTCAATGCTAATGACAGATGCACCTGTGAGAGACATCACGCCTTCGAAGTGACAAATTGGATTATGATCTATTAGATGTTGAAGCCGTGGTAGGGAATTTGCTTGGTTGGACTATGTTTAATTAGTTCAATAGCTTTATGACTGTGTTGTCTAAAGTGGTAGAATAACTTCACTTTTGCAAAATATTGTCTTTATGTGATCTTGTCCAACCTATTCATTTGTTGATCTGCAGTTTGACCGCTGTTACTTCACTTCTTGAGAAGTATGAGGTTGATCCAAAGCAAATTGGTAGACTGGAAGTTGGAAACACAAAAGCAAATCAATCAAGACATTCTTGATGTAAATATTTGAGGTATTGATCCTTGTCTTTGTAAAATGCCATTGCATTGACAAATATTAGACCCCATAGTGATGTTGTATGGGTTCTATCCACAGAAAATTAGTGCTAAATAAACTGAAGTGGTATAAATTTTAAGAACAAGGAAAAGAGCTAGAGCCTAATTTACTGCCTAGGTTATCCACTGTATTTTACAAGTTGTAGTAGCAAGGATCCTATATTCTGCCTAAGAAGAGGATTTCGAAATTGTTACTTGCTTCTTTTATACCTCCATGACACCAAAGCAGTATCTAAGAAGATGCATAACCTTGTGACAGATCTCGTGGTGTCGGGACAGGCTTCCCAATCAGAGTCAGTGAACCATTTTAGTTGGAGTGTGGATCGAGCTGGAAAGAATATGCCTTGAGCCGGAGCTGACTTGATATATCTTAGGAGTCTTTATGTGCAGCTTGTAAATGTATGTCTGTGGAGCAATCTAGAAATTGAGATAACTGCTGTGTAGCAAAACTGATGTCTGGTCTTGTAATGGTGAGATATAGCAATTTTTCAATTAATCTTCTATAATAAGTGATATCCTCCAAAGCACTTCCATTGTCTTTGCTTAGCTTGATTTCTGGCAACATCTAGTCCTAAAAAGAAATTAAGAGGACTTAAGTCCTTTATCTGAATTTTATCAAGGCTTGTGTTCAATCCGGCTCCACTATTCCTGCCACTTAATCGTGTTAATTTATGACATCAGAATTGAAAAGCATGATTATATTCCAAACCCTTACCAAAAATAATGAATATGAATAAATATTATGGTATCTAATTAGAAGTGGAAGAAATCTCATTTTTACATGGCATTATAACTTATGATCTTTACTATAATGGGTTTGGAGATATAAAAGTTGGAGAAGTCATCAAAATTACTCATACAACTAAAATTATTGTTATTAAAAGATCCTAGCGTCATAAGATTATATTACCATCGGCTAAATAAAGCAAGTATGGTGAGAAAATAAGAGTTGAAGCATTGTATAGAGATAAAGACGGCTTCCTACAACTTTTACCATTCACTAAAATTGGGTAGAACACTGAATAAGAAGAACAGGAACTTTTGAAGCCGCCCAAATATGTGACGCAAAATAATCTTTTAGGTCATGCATATTTTCTAGGAAACTCCCATCTTTTAAGTCATTGCATATTTTCTTTCCTTATTTATTATTTTCCTTTGGATTTTTTCTTTATAGACTTTTCTCTCGTATTTTCTTTAGTCTTTGATTCACATCTTTAATTAAAAAGTGTTACATGTTTCACATGGGACAGTCTTTCAAAACAGAAATTTATAACTTTCAAAGTATGAAAATTATGTTATACTAACTTGGTAATTTCGTTCGAGTCACTATTCGAAGTACTTTTGTCATGATGAATTAGTAAGTAAGTGTTGGTTATTTTTCAAAAGTGTTGTTTAGATTAAATTTTTGTATAATTTATTTCATTTAAATACTGTGTAGGAAGACTCAATTTGATAGCTAGGCTCGACAGAAAAATTGTTAAGAAGAATTGAATTCATGATGTTCTAGTACAAAAATCATTCTTCACCAACTTGATCGATCTCCTTTTCGGAGCTATTATTATTCTAATTTTTGTTATAATGAGTAGGTGGATATTATTTTTTAGAAATATTAATTAGATGAAATTTTTGGGCCCTGCCGTAGGGTTGCATGTAGTGCTATAGCTTGGAAAAATCGAAAAAAACATCTCATCTTCTACATTGTTTTTGTTTACACAACCATAGAGATTGTTGTGTTAATTTAAGAGGGTAGCAATTATAAACAAATTCCATCAAGTTAATGCTAATTAAATTAAAAATTAAAAATAAATATTATTTTATAATTAACTAAAAAATAATTCAAATAAAATGAAGCAAAGGAGAACATTGTACATTAATATTGTCTAATAAATTTTATCGAGTTTCTTATGTTTTTTTAGTATTTCTTGTGTGGTACTTAAAAAAAAAAACATAAATGTACATGAAAATTTTCAAATTGAATTAGGTGAGAGGAATAAGGAGCATAAATATGTTTCTGGCAATATGTTATTTTACTAAATGTTTTTTCTTTTATAATTCATTTAATTTGTAGTATACATAGCTAGGGCAAAAATGAGAGAATTGAATTTGCAAAATTAACTTTGTTAATACAAATTTTTTTTTTTTTATCAATAAAATACACAATACAAGTGCATTAAATATATTTTCTTTTCAAAGGTTGACACACAAGTTATGGGTCTAAGGTTGTGCCTCTACATATACATCAAATTATCAATATAATGTCCAAAATAGTGTTGTCGGTCTCTCTTATTTTTCACTTCACTTTTCTTTTTTTTTTTTTTTTAATTTTTTTTAGTTAATCATCCATTGTAAAATTTATAGGACACTTGGCTTACAATCAATAATTTCCTTGTTGTCTTCCACTCAATCTCTATGAAATTTCCTTCTTCATTTTTCCTTCACTTTTCTCTTTACACTTTTCTTCCTTAGCTTTCCTCTTTCCCTTTGTCATCCATCTCTAGACTTCACTTAGCAGAGTCTTCCACTCAATCTTTACGAGATTTCCCTCCTCATTTTGTATTGTTGTCTTTTCTCTTTAGAAATTTTTTTTATAATAAATTTTCCGTGAATATTACTGATTCCCTCTTTCTGCATGCCCGGCCCTCAATAATGCCCTTTCCTAAAACTCTATTGCATTGTTGTAAAAAATTGCTGGCACCTATGTTTTTTTTTTTAAGCTTTTACAACTTGTTTAATTTTTAAAAAATTTTTAATACTTAATATATATATATATATATATATATATATATATATATATATATATATATATATATATAATACTTTTAGTTAATATTAAAATATTAAATATCAACTTAAAAATATATACAGGATTTGAACGATTTAGGGTTATTTCGCTGAAAATGACGACGTCATTTTAAACGAAATAATCCATTTAAAAAAAATAATAATAATAACTAATTCGTCGATTAGGCGGCCGACCATCAAAATTACCACGGTGTTAATATAGATGGTCAGCCGGCCCTTGGCATCTAGGTGCGACTTTTACAACATAATGAAGTAAATGAAAATGGAGAATTATAATCATTTCAAATACTACACATTAGGACACTTTAGCTTTCTATGGTCTGTCCCTTCATAATTTCCTCCCCAGCTACATTATTGGTGGAAGTAAATGCAGTACTACAATCATGCTTGTTAAAACGCGTCCAGAGACGCAGGGACCCAGACTGCGCAATAGCTAGGAAATTAATCTCGCTTAATAAAATGATATATGTGCTTGCCAATATGCCATTCTCTTAGAGTAGTACATTGATATTTCTTGGATTCTTTGTTTAGATAGCATGAAAGAACGTAGTCCACCCACTACACCTTTTGGCAGTCCAATAATTGTGAATATGATAATAATATTCTCAAAGTATTCAATTTTATTAATAATACTTGATTTACAGAAAGTCTATAACCCCAATTTGAAATTGTGATTTGGATGACACTCGCTCGTCTTGTGATTCTAATTAATAAATAATTAATTTAGTGAATTTGTAAGAAATGTCCTCTTCATTTTTCTTTCGTATGTTCTCTCTAGAATTTTCTTATAATGAATATTCCGTGAATATTACCAACTCCCTCTTTAATTTCAACGTACCCTTCTTTCATACAATTTTATTGGTGGACAAAAATGCAGCATTATAACCCCTTTCATATACAACAAATTATTGTATAGTAGGACACTTTTTTGTGTTCCCTGTCCGATAATATGAAAGTTACTTTATAAATGTAAATATTTAGTGTGATGTGTAAATATTTTATTACATTTATAAAGTAACTTTTTTGGTGTATTAATTAATAATATATCAAAGGAGGTCAATGAGTCAACGAAGATTATCAAAAAATCTCCTGGCATCATATACTACACCAAGAATTGCCGTAGGTCCAGTATAATTTGCCGTAAGGATCTCGACCCAGACTGCGCAATAATTAGGAAATTTCATCACCAAGAAATGGGTAACTAAAGCTGTACGTATTAACAAATTTCTATTGCATTTACAAAGCAATTTTCATGTAACTTCTTAGAAATGGGTAACAAAAGTTTTTTAGTCCCGGTAGGGTCAAAAGGAGAGTCTAGAGGGGGGGGGGGGGAGGGCTGAATAGACTCAATTCGATTTTTACAGAAATAACTCATTTCGGGGTTATTACACAGCGGATTTGTTAAATAGATTTTAGTATTGCTTTGCACTGTTTTACGCTTAAGGAACTTTCGGTTTGAAAGAGTAATGATATGCAATTTACGAAAGTAAAGCGATATGTAAATAAAGAGAGAGACGAGAGATTTTTATAGTGGTTCGGCCAATTGTGCCTACTCCACTCTTCTTCCACAACTTGTGAAAGGGTTTGCACTATCACTCCTAGTACAAATTACTTCAAGCTAGCTTCCTTGATCACTAAGCCGGACAGCTACTTGGAAGGTTTTCCAACTCCTAGAGTTTACTCCGCCTCTATCAATGTCTTCTTCAGAGTTGAGGGTTGGATGAAAAGATTTGCGTGTTTCTCCAACAGGTTGAAGTCTTGACTGGCTGGTTGAATGATGGATGATCAACGTGTAGAAAAAGCAAGACTTCTTCAAGGTTGTGAAGAAGAAATCTGATGGCTCTTTTTGAAACTTCACACCTTGAATCACTGGTTTTCAAAAGCTTGGAAGAGTGAACTTTGTATAAGGAGCTTTTTGCGTGAATATAATCAATTGAGTGAAAAACCAGCATCTTCTTCAGTGGAGAAGATGAGTATTTATAGGGGAAGAAATATCCATCCGTTGGAGGGAGATGATATTTCAAACCTATGGACCAGTGGGTATTGCCCGGAGGGCTTGGTGCATTTAATGCTGCATTTATTGCGGTTGTACCATGTAGTCGTTGGTGGTAAGAACTTTTGCAAGTTTTTGTCTTCTAGCTCTGTAAAGAGGTACAAGGCATTTAATGCATCTTGGTTGATGTGCACCTTGTTCTTAGGACAACTTATTCCTAGGATGATTTCCCAGCTGAGACTTAGACAACATTCTTCTTGAATTCTGTAAAGAGGAATTGTCTTGGCAGTCTGATTATAGAATAAAAGTCTCTTCACGAAAGATTGACTTTATCTTTTGTCTGAATTGGCAGCTTTGATGAGTACTTCTCCATTTGCTGCATAACCGAGAGATGGATTCTCTGACTGATGTAGCTTTTCTTCAAACTTTTGATCTTCTTTCGTCCAAGTAGACCTAACTAAAAGATCATAACTCAGTTTCGTGTGTTTGTCTAGCTTAACACGAATTACAAGGTGAGTTATGGCACCTTTCGTCTAAGACGAAAGTATCAAAAGAAACTATTCAAAAGTTAGGGGTCTACAGTCTAAATTCCATTGGTATCATCAAAATCTAAGTACATTTGTTCCTAACAATTTCCCCCTTTTTGATGATGCCAAAACCTATACTCTGCTATAAAGTTGATAGATATCCCATAAAGGATTTTTCATTTCAAAACAGCCATGCTGTAGAGTTTACATTCAGTTTCTAAGCAGTAATGAAAGGTACAAGAAATTATTACAATTATCTTAGATAGGAACACGAGAATTTGGACAAAAGGTAACTTTTATAATGATCAGGAACACTTACAAAATAATCGAAAGCGAAGTTGAAGAACTTTTACATATCTCAAAGCTTCGCTTTTTGTAACTGAGCCTCCTTTCGCTCTTTTTCATCTCTCTTCTTGTTCCTTGAGCATCCTATCCATGTCAATATCTCGTTTGATCAAAGTTCTAAACTTTCGGATAGGATTTTCTTTCACGAGGTCTTCATATATTTCCCAGTGATGTTGCAGCTCAGATAATTGTTGTATGCTTCAAGAATATTTTCTCCTTCGACAATACCAATATTCCACCAGGAAACGAGCTCAAACGAATGCATTCCCTCAGTGTAACTCTTTCCTGATTCTGTGTGAATTTTGAAAACGGCATTGTACTTGACTCCAGGTTCAGCATCTTTTCCAATCTTTGTTACATACTTTATCTTTTCCTTCATTCTTTCGCGTTCAAGCAATTCGTGTTCTCTTGCAAGTCTCGCCTCTTCTTGTTTGTTCCACAACTATAGATTTGCTTTCTTGATCTTTTCATTTCTTTGGCTTTGATAAGTTTGTCTAATGTTGTTATCATTCTTCTTCAACCATATCGGTAGATTGCACCCTTCAAAGTGCTTTCCACTTCCTACTTCATACTCTTGGTAAGTAACGAAGTTTCCTGTGGCATCCATGGTTATATTCATATCTCGCATAAGCCTTTGGCGAAGATTCTTCTTCTCTCTGTAGGTTTTTCCATGAAATGCAAACTCAGAGGTGGATCCGAAAGATTGTTGAGGTCTGATAGAGTGTTGTCTGGATCTTGAGGATGGCTGATGTCGAGACTTAGATGCTGGATGTGAAGATCTCGTGTTTCTTCCTTCATCATTCCTTCTTTGAACAAGAGATCTGTCTCTAAATTCATCTGGGCGAGATGGAGATTTGTTTCTGTTCTCGTCCTCATCATCATCATTTCTCTTCTTTTCCCCCTTTTTGGCATCAACACACGGAGAATCAGAGGGCTTGACTAGCTTGTTGATTGTGTTAAGCACGTCTTTGACATATTCGAGAATCTGGAGCTGATATTCTCCCATTCGGAACATGTTGTCACTTGCTAAATCAACTTTCGTGCAGGCTAGGTCAACTCTCTCTTTGAGGCCAAATTGAGAAAGCTTGAGGGAATGTTGCTCTTTCGCAATCTTGTTAAGAAGATGACTTTGACGGTGGAGTTCAGTTGCTTGCTTTTCATGAAAGTCTGTAGTAAAAGATGTCGGTTGCTGTTGAGTGGAAGATAGAGATGTCATTACTTATGTCATCTTGGTGGACAAATCTTCCAGAGTTTGACTATCTTGCTTTCGGTGAAACGAATACTGTTGATGCAGAAGCTCGACTTGGTGGATTGTGGTTAGCAGATGGTGCATGATGTTTTCCGGATCAAGAGATTCGACACGAAGGCTTGGTTCGAGGTGGATGCTCTTAGGTTCACGAAAAACATTCCGTTGTTCAAGAATGAATTGATTCTCACTTGGTGATGCTTCCATTTTGTCATCACGGGGTGATTTCGGATTCAATTGACTTGTTGTTGGTGGTGATGCTTCCATTTTGCCATCACTATTTGGTCTTGCAGCAATCTGACTATCTATAGGTGGAGGTGCTGAAGGGGATGGATCACGAGGATGGGTTTCTTCATGAGGAAATGAGTGAGGTGTGGGTGATCTTTTGGGTATGATTTCGGTGTTGCCTATGATAGGAGATTCACTATCATAGTCCGAATCATCATCATCCGAATCATCATCATTATCACCATTATCATCGTCTTCCTCATCATCATTCTCTTCATCTTCGTCATCTGGAATGTCATTGTCTTCTTCCTCACCATCTCTATCTGCGTTGTCTTCTTCATCAGGATGTTTATTTGCAGCAGGTTCAACCTCATTGATACCTTCGTCTTCATTGATTCTTTCTTCTTATGCTGAGGCTTCTTCATTTTCAACATCTTTCTCAATTGCATTCCCATTCTCGTCCTTGGATCCGCTGATATTGCAAGCTGGATCATTTTGATGGAGCTTCTCTAATTCAGTTTTGATTTTGGATAACAAGAGAGCAGCTCTGAATTCCTTCATCTCTTCTTCAAAGGCAGGATCGAGATATGGTTTCTTCATTTCAAGGCAAATAGGGGCTTTTCCTTTTGTCAGACTTCGGTTGGTCAGCTTGTATGAGTATGCTCGGTTTATGGTCTCAAGCCTTGTTGCTTCATAAACGTTTTGCGTGCCAAGCCACTCGAGAGCGAAATCTTCTTCATCTTTCATCTCATCGAAATTTTCGAGAAATAATCTGAGAGGTGAAGTTCGCCACTTTTGCCATTTCAAAACTCTCTGGTAATCACTTTCAATTGAGAGTTGAAGCAGTTGATCTCTTGATGGGGGAGAATTTGGATAAGTTTCGGGTTCAGGGACCACTTCTTTCATCTCTTATGGCAAGCCAGGTTCTTGCGGGAGACTTAAGTGGTTCGAAGAGTGTGGCAAGCTTTTGTCCTTCTCTACCACAGCAGGTTCTTGTGTCAGAATTGGGATGATCTGCTCTGCTGGAGTAGGTTCTTGTGTAAGGAAAGTTTCGGTGGCATGTGTTGAGACAATGACAAGATCGATGATCACTTCTCTCGTCTCTTCTGGCAAGCCAGGTTCTTGTGGGAGACTTAAGTGATCAGATGAAGATGGAAGTTCGCAACCATCATTTTCTATCTCAGCAGGTTCTTGTGTCAGACTCGGGTTGATCTGCTCTACTGAGACAGGTTCTTGTGGCAAGGAACTTTATACTAAACCTTCGGTACTCACAGATGTGGTCTTCCTTTTCTTCGAAGACTTGCGAGAGGCATCCTTTCGCTTTGAACCTTCTTCCCCCTGAGTGGTGGCAGGTTTCTTTCTCAACTTTTCTTTTAAAATGGAATGAGGGGGAAGAGCTAATCTGGTCATTATCTCGTTGGCTTTCGCAATTGTTGGTCTGAAGTGACCTTTCTTTGGTTGTGCAAGGATGGGTTGAGTAGTAACTTCGTCTTCAGACGTGTCTTCAACGATTATAGGTTCTGCTGTTGGACTCGAAACATGAGGAATCTTTCGTGGAGATGAAGAGCTAACATTTTGAGGTGCAAAATCTTTCTTGTCAACAGTCAAGGGATTCGGTTCTGATGGCAGTGCTAGAGACTGAGCTTCAGGTGAGCCTTTGGTAGCTGATTTGGAAAGTGCCTTCTCCTTCTTTCGTCTTTTGGGCTTGGGCTGGTCATCATCAGATTCTTTAGTCTTCTTGGACTTCCTTTTGGACTTTACTGAGTCCAAAGGTAATCCCAACTCCAGTGCCTTCTGCTTGTCATAACCAGAAGGTTTCGACTTCATGTGACAGACCTTTGGTCCACGGAGAATGCCTTCACGAAGAGGAACCTTCTTCTTAGCTAGAAGATGACTAACGAGAAAACCGAAGCCAATCTTCTGTGAGATATCTCCCGGTGATGTCCTTCAAAAAGTGATGATGTAACGAAGCTGGTTGAATACAAATTTCGACCAATCCACCTTATAACTATGAAGGAAGGCGTGGAACATTTTAAGCTTATCTTTCGTCACATCGTTTGTCCCAGACGTCTTGTGTTCTACAATTTTGTTGAAGATATCAACTGCAAATTCATAATCAAGTCGAAACCACTTCTTCTTCAAGGGCCATGTGATTTTAGTTGGTCCTTGCTTGTTTTTTATGCTTCCATGGAACTCATGTTGATCGTAGTAGTACCCGCAAAAATCTGAGTGGTACGACTCATCACGATCTGGAAAACTGAAAGCTTTCTTCACATCTTCATAGGTTAGAGATATGGAGGTGCCATTGACTTTAGAAGAGATCAGTGAACCATCGGTGGATACTTTGGCATTCAGATAGAACTGAGTAACATCCACCGGAAACCAAAACGTGTAGAGGTGAGTCACAAAGCCATACAAACCACTGTCCTGCAATAAATGGATGATCTTTTCTCCAAAGGATTTGTCAAGAACAAATTGGAGAAACCCATGAGCATCCCACATACATCCACCAGCAACAAAATGAACTCTGGACTGAATGAAGTTCTCATCGGAGGTTGGAAAGTTTGGCAGCACTTCTACTTCGGCCGACTCTGGTTCTGCATCCGAAGCTGTCTCCTTGGATTTCTTGGCCATAGCTTCTGAGAAAAGATGAATTTCTGGGTTTGAAGAGGGGAGGTTGTGATAAGAGGAAGGGTTCAAGGTTTAGAAGATGGAAGAAAAAGTGAAATAGGTGTGGTGGTTTAGGTTAAAAAGGAGAGGGTTTCTACGGGTCAAGTGTTTCAATCGGGTAAACTGAACTGTGTATTAGAATTTGAATGAGAATGACGTTTGCCATTCTCCAAATAAGGTAAACTGATATGGTAGGGGTTACTGATAAGGCCAGTATCAAATCAAAATTCATCATTCCCAATTAAATAGGAGAGAAAAATACTTTGGAGTGCAAACATCCTCATTTAATGCCTGTCACGTCGACTGACATTGGCAGAGAGGATCATGGGGTAGTGGACCGATTTTTGTGGCCACACGATCTCTCCTACCACCTTCATCGAACGGTTAGGGATGAAACTCTTCATTTCCAAATAACCGTCAGTACATTTGATTTCCGATGACATTGTAATCTTTTGCGAGAATCAAATAAAGATTCTCGTATTTTCGCCAAACAAATAAAGTTTCGTGAATAGGTGTGCTGATGTTTCATGTTAAGAAGCATGCTGATAAGATATAAGGAACACACGAAACAAGGAGATGTTTAATAAAAATAAGGAACTTGGTAGATATCACAAACATCTCTCGACCTACAGTAATACAACACATTTAACACCTGCATCTTCAGTTTCTTTTTGCCTTTTTCTTGAGCTGTGCGTCTTCAATCTCTCGATCCTTCTTCTCAAAATAGTCCTTCCGAAAGGGTTCGTACGCAATGATATCAGTGAGCTCGGGATCAATCTCATCCTCCGAAACAAGGTCTTTGACTCCAATGTCACTAGGCTTTAGATCTCTCACCCAATGATGTAGTTTGGATCATACTTAGAGTTATGGAGAGTGAGAGGAGATGGAGCAAGTGGAGGTGGATTGCTTTGTAGGAGAGCAGATGAGAGCTTCTTAATAAAGGGGAGGGTTATAGAACCTTGGGAGCTATTTCCTTGCTCATATGATAAGCTGAGGGATTTGAACTTTTCTTGAACGTCTTTCATTTCTCCCTTTGGTAAAGCTACTGAAGAAGATAGGTGTTTCTTTCCTTTATCCATTTCTTCATATGATAGAATGAGCATACCATGGCAATGCATGCCTATTTATAGGCAAAAATGGTCGTCCATTTGAGTGTTTCGAGGTATGACACATATTCCAATTTTGAAAGACTTAACACTGAATGGAATCAAGATCTTAAAAGATATTCATGATTTCCAAGGCTTATGAAGAGATTCCTGACGAAATGAGATAGATGTGACAGAATATACCCAATAGATAAAATAAATCAAATAAAGATTTATCTCTCTTTTAACAAAAGACTAGAGCTCTTTTCGGGAAAACATAAAATATCAACTTTTATTTTATTTCAAGACGAGAGAACAGTTATTTAGAAGATAAGTCATTACATCTCAAAATACCGAAAGGGAAATTACTTTTTCTCTTTTCCCTTCTTCATCTTGCTGGATTCTCCCTTATCCTTTCTTGCTTTCTTTTTCGATGCAAAATAGTCAGGACGAGATGAGGCAACAGAAGATCTTGGTTCATCATATGAGACATCCTTCATATATCCACAAATAGGTCCGCAGTTATGCATACTGAGGTAAGTACGAAGATCTTTGTCAAAATTTGGATTGTTCCAAGCTTCTTCAGATAAAAATCCTATTTCTTCAATGGAAGGAGGTGCTTATTCAATAACGGCTCCTGGGGAGTTTTCATCAGATTCATATGTAATGAACCCATCATAGTTTGTGGGTGGTTCAGAATCAGATGAAACGTCCAGTGGTGCTCGCAGGCTGTTTCCTGGGTACAAGTCACCTTGTTCTTCCCGGACTAGACGAGCCATTTCCTTGAGTCTCCTAGTTACATCTCTGGTGATGGGTTTATGAGGAGCCATTGCAATTGAGATTTGAAGTGAGGATAATCCATCTATGATTGTCTCCTTTTATAATCAAGATTTGGAATAGCCATTCAATGCATTCACCCATTTTCAACGTAGCATTGATTTCTTTGATGAAGGCTTAATATATTCCAAACTTAGTCACTATTGACGTGTCTTCCATAGATTGGTGATACAAGAATCTTGTGTCACGTCAATATCATAAAAATTGAATTCACGTGATAATCGTAACTGACTGAGGCTATAGCATTTAAGACCATAAAATTCCTCATAACTCTCAAGTTCTGGTTTGAACAATTAATGAGGTGTCGTTTCAGAATTTAATTCGACCATTGACCAGATTTGCAAATGTGCAACAATTTTAGGTCTTGGTCAAAGAACTCATTAAGAGAATAGTGACCAGAAGTAAAGATATTTATTGAAAGTTCCCAGACGACAACAGCTTACAAGAGAAATAACCACAGATATTTCCTTAGAGAAATAAATAAGGCAAGTGGAGTTCCAGATGAGAAATTTCATCAGTCCTTTCGGGTACACGAACCATATTTGCATATTCGTCCAATTCTTCAAAAGAGAGGGTGGGCTCATGTGAACCACTTTTTGATGTTGGCTAAATCTGAACAAGAGAGAAGTCTTCCATTTTCTGTGGAACTTCAGAGATCGGGTACCAACAAAAGGTGGGTGATGATTCTTGGGATGAATTGCCACAAGCATTTTTGAGAACCATAATCCTCTCGTTTGCCATTCTTCGAGCTTGTTCCAAATGATATTCTCTTTTTGCCTGAGATTCTGCAATGATTTTATCTATGTTTTCTCTTTCCTTTCTGCTTGCTGTATTCGATAGAGAGTATGTGATGTTTACTGTGTCATGATCTTCTCTTATCTTAATGACAATTGCATTCGTCAACTCTCCTGCTTCCTTTAGGTATCGATCTCTCCTAGCAGCACGCCTCTCAGCTTCATCCATGTTCCCTTTTCCTTTGTCTTGATTCATTTCTGCAATCAAATTACTAAAACACTAGAAAATATGTTAGTGGGTTAATGTGAATTTTTCTTCTGGGAAAGGGGACCTCTTTATAGAAGTAAAAAGGCGAGTGATTGCGTGAAGATATTTCCATAAGATTTTAGCTCCATGTGCTAAATCTTCTTTATGGAATATTTCAGGAATCATGCAGATAGATTCCACACGTAAAGCCTGTATGTTAGATCATTTCAATCATTCCAATTTCATGTCGTAGGGTAGCAAACCTACTTTCACATAGTGGTTTGGTGAGTATATCGGCAAGTTGATCGTCTGTATTGACATATTCAAGAGAAA